AATTTACTCAGCCTTGTAAATAAATTTTAAAAATTAATCGACCTGCACAAATTTGTTGCCAACCTCCCTCTTCCATGGTGCTTAACTTCTAGTAAAATGAAGAAAATTAGCATTTCTTCCTACTTGTCTCTCAGATATGAATGCTTATGAGGACCGAGTAGATCAATGTCTATTACCTTATATGGATGTATTACAATCCACTGAAGTGCTGTGAGGAAAAACAATTCACATTAAGATTGAATATAGATCTACAATCCCTTCAGGTCTGAATTTGGCCTTAAATGCTTTACCTTAAAATAATGAATAATGAAGATTTAGATTTAGAGAACAGTGTTTCTATGCCAGGAATGTTTTTCTCTTAAGGGAAATTCTTAGAGAAAATTACCTGGGTCGCGGGGGTCGGGGGGAACCCCTCAATCTGCAAATTGGGTTCCTGGCTTTTGGGTTATATGGACGTATTTGATTATCTGACTTTTTAACTTTGAAGCTAGTTAGAAGCTAAAGCGTGAAAGGACAGACTGAACACAGGCTTGAGGGTACCAGGCTTCCTCCCCTCATCACTGCTGACATTAGTGAGAGTAAGAAGTAAAGAATGAGGTCGACACAGAAAGAGAAAGGAGGAGAGCGGGTTGTGTGTGCAGCAGGGGTGAGGTGGCAGACGGTGAATTAAGTCCTCTGCAAGGCCATCAGAGAAACTCTGGGTTCAGCAGGTGACAAGCTCCAGGAATATTCCTCGTGAAACTGTGCTGTCCCTGAGGCCCCATCCTGGTTTGGCTTTCTTGAAACATTTTCCCTCCCTTTGGGCTTGATTATGACATGAGGCTCAAAAGTGGAGTACTGCCAGCTCTCTTGGGTCACTTCACCCTCTTCTCTGTATGCTGTCTCCATAAATAGTCCACATTTAGCAGCCGAGATATAGTTTAATAGATCTTAATCCTCAAAATAAAATTGTAAGACATTTCTAGACAATGCTCACTCTGTTGCCATCTTAGTCGGTTTAGGGAAAAAAATGTTTTTAATGTGGCAGAGGCAGCAATAGAAACTTTTAGGGAAAAAGTTAGACTTTTAAATAAATAGGCAAGGCAGAGCAAACTATAGCAGGAAGAAGAATGCAGAGTGTTCTGGGGGAGTGTCGTCCTGAAAGCTGAATGCTGCCCTTTTGATTTCCTGAAAAATATGAAATATGTAAATAATAATGTACTTAGAGGAAACCATGGAAATGGAATGCAATGAAAATATTAAAGCTGTATGCCAGTAGCTATAACAAGAACAGAAAGACTAGAAGAGAATTCACAGTGGCTTCAGAAATAGCAGGCTGAGGCTAAAACCAGAACTGTGCTCTATGTAACTGTTAGAGCAAACAAATCAAGTACTTGGGCCCAGTAGTCCCAGCTATTCAGGAAACTGAGGTGGGAGGATCACTTAAACCCAGAAGGTCAAGCTCAGCCTAGGCAACGTTAGGCAACATAGTGAGACTTCATCTTAAAAGAAGAAAAAAAATCAAAAAAAACAATTACAAGGATTGATTGGAGTGGGGTCATTTGTGCCATATTAGAAACTTGCATATATGAGAGACTAACATCTTTTGTCAGAGGGCAGCTATAGTATAACTCAATGTTTATGTAACTAGTGATGGCAATGAAAATATCAAATATTAAGCTTAAATGCAATGTTTATTTAAAAAATAATTTTTAACAGGCACATACTGTAGAATTTGAAATTGTTAATTTTTGACCATGCCATTTCTCTGTTGAGAAAAGAATTTCGATCTAAGGAGCGTGGCTGAGAATTGGGGTGGGTATTAAGAATTAATGTATGTAAAATGAAATTAAAGCCAAACGTATATTTTCATTTATGTCGAGTAGGATGCTTTTTCTGTCTTGAAAGGACATACCTGTTGCTTCACTAAAGAGAAAGTCGATCACTTAAAAATGGTTTTTACTTTCATTAGTCAGGCATCTGGAGAAAGTAAACACCAGATCCTATCATATCCTCATTAATGACTTAAAATGGTGCAACAATCTAGGTTTCACAAATTCAAATGGCTCTGGCCCTGCTCAGTAAATCTGAATGAGTGGAGCAGACTGAGTGTGAGACACTAGTGATGGATGTTAAGACATGGCTTGCTTGCCTTAGGCATTCAAATTCAACTTACAAACAAACAACAACGAAAACCTAGCTAAACAAATACCTCAAGAAGGTCTTGGGATTTATAACATGATATAAAATAATCTGTTTTTCATGATCTAATGCTTAAGACTAGCTCTTCTCTGAGACCATTCAAGTCTCTTGCTAAACAGTCCCAGCTTAATATGTAACCTCCAGGAGTCTTAAGCCAGAGGAATGTCTCAGAAAGTGAAAAAGAATTACCTCCCTTTTCGAAAAATTCAGTTTTGAAAAGAAGCAAATTGGTGGTAGGGATGGGGGTCACCATAAAACGGATTAAGTTGCTACTGACAAGACTGTATGGTGAAAACATTCTTTTTCTATTTCCAAAGTGGTTAATCAGCCAAGAAAGGTGTAAACACATTCAACAGAAGCGCTTTCTTGTCTGTTAACTGCAACTGTGGCTCACTTGTAAAGGTTCATACTGGCTTTCCATTTTAATTGATGTTTGCCTTTGTTGCAAAGATCTTCACATTAGGTCTTCAAAGAAATTAGATAGCTATTGAAATATATGTTTGTAACAACTTAGTTGAAATAAGTTGGACTAACTCAGTTTCTTAATATTATACCACATATTTTCAAGTCTTTTGATAAGTGTTAGCAAAAGACAAGATGATATGCAGAGGAAAAGGGTGGAGACTTCTATTAAAACAACAATCTGCAGACTAGGTAGGCACAGCTTTTAGTATAAGTGAAAGTGTGTTTTCTGAAGAACAAAGGAAGGGTCTAGCTTAAAAAGGGAAAATTCCCCCCTCAGTTCTCAATCAGGCCTGTTTATTCAAATGAAGGATTCAAACTTGTTTAGTTCCAATTGGTCAAAATTAGTAGAGTGCTGATTGGGTGTTTTCTATGCCCCAAACCAGAACTCTGTCACACTTTTTATTGGGTGTTTTCTATGCCTCAAGCCAGAACTCTTGCCAAACTTTTCTTTCAAAGGGCTGGTGAGGGGCAGTTTCCAGCCCCAGTTTCTCTTATGTCTAGTTACAGGAACTGTTCTGGCTCAGGGTATAAAGCAAATGTTTGTGGAGTTGCTTTTTCTTTCTTTCTTTCTTTCTTTTTTTTTTTTTTTTTTTTTTTTGAGACGGAGTTTCGCTCTTGTTCCCCAGGCTGGAGTGCAATGGCGCGATCTCGGCTCACCGCAACCTCCGCCTCCTGGGTTCAGGCAATTCTCCTTCCTCAGCCTCCTGAGTAGCTGGGATTACAGGCACGTGCCATCATGCCCAGCTAATTTTTTGTATTTTTAGTAGAGACGGGGTTTCACCATGTTGACCAGGATGGTCTCGATCTCTTGACCTCGTGATCCACCCGCCTCGGCCTCCCAAAGTGCTGGGATTACAGGCTTGAGCCACCGCGGCCAGCCCCTGAGTTGCTTTTTCTAAGAAGCCACGTGGCTGCTCTTTCTCACTTCAGCAAGGCCACTTGCTTCTGCTTTTAAATTTAATCCTCCCTATTAACCACAGGGACATCTATCTCCCCTGGAGAGCTTGAGTCTTATTTTAACAGTTTTATTTCTTATAGATTATATTTAAAAGTATTTTTGAAGTTATGCCATGCCAAAGAAGCATGAACAGTGGAAAAGTTGATGTCTTGATTCAAAGGGAAACACAGAATGTGTACATACTTTATGTGCCTGATACGAGACATGATGTTCTTCTATTTATTGCCTCATTTTCTCACAACTGCCCAAGACATTGGTATTCTTCAGTGTTTCATAGTTGAGGCCACTGCATCTCAGAAATGTTCTAGATTTTTGAGAAATGTATTAAATAAGACATTTTAATCAATATTAATTATAAAACCTTTAGTTTGTTTTAGATATTTGTTTTGTTTTTATAAAGCTACTGTCATTTGTTTTCCATGCCAGGCAACCCTTATTTTAAGAAATTATAGCCTGTATCATCTCATATTCCCCAGAGCTTGCACTTAGCTGTGTGGTGTGGTATGGCCCACTGTAGTTGTTGGCGTATCATCTTAAGACATCTAGGAATATGCTTTCAGGAAGAAATGGAGAGTTTCTTCTTTCTTTCTTTCTTTCTTTCTTTCTTTCTTTCTTTCTTTCTTTCTTTCCTTTGTTTCTTTCTTTCTTTTATTTTTGTGAGATGAAGTCTTGCTCTTGTCACGCAGCCTGGAGTGCAATGGTTCAATCTTGGCTCACTGCAACCTCTGCCTCCTGGATTCAAGTGATTCTCCTGCCTCAGCCTCTTGAATAGCTGGAATTACAGGCACCTGCCACCACACCCAGCCAATTTTTGTATTTTTAGTAGAGACAGCGTTTCACCATCTTGGACAGGCTGGTCTCAAACTCCTGACCTCAGGTGATGCTCCCACCTCAGCCTCCCAAAGTGCCGAGATTACAGGCATGAGCCATCGTGCCCGGACTCTTCTTTAGTTGTAAATAAACATTTTAGGAAGAACAGAATTATACCCTACAAAGCATTCTTTAAATTTATGGGAAAACTTAAAAAAACAAAATGTTACACCCGTTTAGAGACTCAACATTCCTTTAAATATTGTCAGAGTCATTAGAGTTCAAATGAAACCTATGATAAAAATACTTTTGAAGCAACAGCAGCAAGCAGACCTTGATTCTGGCCAGTGCAAGCCATGCTTCAGTGAGCATCAGAATCAAAGAGGAGTGTGACAACGCACATTCCAGGCCTCTAGCACCAATGTCCCCGTCAGGCAAGGCCACGTGGAGTCAAGGATTTTCATTTTTAACCGTTTCCAAGGTGACATTGATGCTGCTGACCTGTGGACCGTGTTTTGAGTAGTACTGATTTAGGGGTGACCTGGGAAGTATAATATGTGTTAACAATTTAAATTATGTTTTTCAGAAAAATAATTTCACCTGCACCAGAAGAACTCAGTGCCCAGAAACCAACATCAGTTCTATACAGATACAAGGTGATGCTGATTATTTCATCAATCATCTTGGAGTTCCCAGCGTGCAGTTTGCTTATGAGGACATCAGGACATTAGAGGTGATTGTTCCCAAAAATGCAACACACACACACGCAATATAGTAGACCTACAGAATTTGATTTTATCCTGGCTATTCAATTTTCATAGCAAATAGGTCACTATAGAAAAGCGGCTTCATTTAGACAGTTATTCTTGTTTCTCAGAGGCTTTGTAATAGTATTTGAAAACATCAGCTCTTTTCAATAGTGTTGAATTCGATTTAAAAAGATTTATATTGTCACTCACATTTTCACACGGTGCTCTGCAACAAGAAATGTGCAGTAGTTGGATTAACATCAAAACATAATTGTAATCTTCGGTATTCACAGAAACAGATGACATGTGCAACAGATTCTCCTCTCCTCGCCCAAAGGAAAATGCATTTCATGTTCTGTATGTTAATGTGAGTCTTGTGGATTAGCTACCCAAAGTTTGTCAATGGTTTGCCTGCTTGAAAAAGATAGTACTTTTTTGTGAAGATAGAAGGCTTTTTCCAAAGAATATCACAAAAGCATGATTCTCCTTAATTAAGTCTTTGTTCATCCATCTTTTGGACTTCAATCCTTTTAATCTTTCTCAGAATTATGTCTCAGGAAACTGTTTCTCTGTGGATCTAAACCTGTTGGGACATTTTACTTTCATTTATAAATTATTTATGCATTATTGGGAGCAATTTGAAAACCTCTAAGGTGACCTTCGTGAGTTAATTATTACATTAACAAAATAATGGCTAGAAAGTACAGTAAAACATGCCTTGCTCTTCAAATATAGATCTTCCTAAAAAGGGGTGCCTTAATTATGTTTGTAGAGGCTCAACTTCAGCTATGCAATGTAATGTTTAATAGCTTTGAGTGATATTTAGCTTTATGTTTCTCTGCAACCACCCAGAAAATGTTAGAATTCTTATTTAGTATGTGTCTAATTCATCTTGGTTTAGCTTTTAAGCCAAGAATTTAGACAGGCAGAATAATATAGTCTTGGGAATGAGACGGAAGCCCTGACTGTGACACTCACTAGACAAATTATTTAACATCTTTCAGAATGACTTTACAAATGAAATACTTTGGTATATTTGTGGAGTCTACTTTATAGAGCTGTGTGAGGATTAAATGAGACTATGCATATAGAGGGTTTTAGCTAACCAGATAATAAGGCCCTCATTGTAGTTATTGCAATTAGTATTGTCTGATTGTAAGTACAACATATTAATGGGATAATTTCTAAGCTGTTTAGATACAAACACATCAGTAGAAGGGAAGACTTTGTTAACTGTTGAGAAAAACAAGTTGATCAGGTGAAGAGGTAGAATTTGGTGAGAATCAGCCAGAGGATTTGAGGTATTAATAGGGAGAAGATTTTGAAATGGGAATCAGTGAAGTTCTAAGAGCTGTATTATTCTAAGAATAAAGTCTATCTAACAGAACTGGTACAGTCTGAAGGAGCCAATCAGTTTTTCAAATTATGCCCAGAATATATAACTACCACCATAAAAATTATTTTTATTATTTGTCTCCAAAAAAGTAATTAAAATAGAGTCTCCTATGCTTTATAACAAATGACCTTGTTGATATTGCTTTAGTGGAAGAATTTTTAAAATGGATTTGTTCCTTACAAAATATGAATGCTTGAGATGAGATAATTTTGTATGAACTCTCTGAGGAACAAAATAACCTTTCCTTTCTATGTTAACCTATAATAGATATTGGTATACAGCTATTAAGAGGAATTATAAATATTAAAAAAGACTTTATCCATGATGTAAAAAATATTTATCCTGTGTCAACTCGTAAAGCAGGTAAGGAAATTAGAGCTTTTTTTTATGAACTTGCAATTACAAATATAGAAAACAGCTTGATGGATTTGAAATTAGGAGCCCTGAAATTTTAAATCCCTGCACGTTAATAGTCCAATTACACTGACTTCTGGGCCTCCGCTTTTTAAAATCTGTATCTTAGTAAAAACAGTAAGGCCAGGTGAGATGGTTCATGCCTGTAGTCCCAGCACTTTAGAAAGCTGAGACAGGCAGATTGCTTGAGCTCAGAAGTTTGATACCAGCTTGTACAACACAGTGAAACCTTGATTCAACAAAATAATACAAAAATTAGGCGGCCATCTTTGCAGGCACCTATTGTCCCAGCTACTAGGGGGGTGGAAGGGGCTGTGATGGGAGTATCACTGGAACCCTGGAGGCGGGGGTTGCAGTGAGCCAAGATCACACCACTGCACTCCAGCCAGGGTGACAGAAGGAGACACTGTCTCAAACAAAACAAAAACTAAAAAACCGTAATATCTACCACTTATTGCGTATTTACCTCTCATTGAGTACTTGCCATGCTGTGTATTTTATACCTCTTATATCATTTATTATTAAAACATCTCCACAATTTAGCTTTTATTATTAATTCTATTCATGCTGAGAACGAAATGGAATTTAAAGACCACTTACCCAAGGTCATAAAGATAATAAATGGCCAAGACAGATGTTGATCTAAGTATGTTTGACAGTAAGTCTGTGTTCTCAACTATTATACCAAAGACGGCAAATTCGAAGCCCAAGGGCAAGAGATAGCCTATCAGTGTATTTTGTTATTGAAAAATTGAATTTCTGGAAACACTGTGTACTTTTCCTCCATGGAAAAAGGTAACTAAATGGACACTGCTCACTAGCTTGCCATGTTGTTCATCCCAGAGTTAAGAAGAATATTTTCTTCAACACCTGTATCTATCAAAGATCAGAAGATGAATACTTAACTTAGGATCACATGTTTCACCAGACTTGTGTCACTTACGGTATCTGTGTGGACTCCTATAGGGACAGAGCTCATTCAGTAAAAAAAAGTTACAGTGAGTAATTTTATGGCTGCTTCTGCTTTCAAAGTGGTATATTGTAAGAGCGATAATTTTATGATTCTATCCATGGTTTTAAATAAATTATCTGTTTGAAGCTGATTTGGGTGATTATAATGCAAGCCTTAGAATTACTATCAATATATATGTTCTTTGTCCAGTAAGATTGATCATGGATCTATTATATTCAATTTCAAAAACTGAATCATGATAATATGGGAAAAATTGAACTGTAGGAAAATAAACCATTGCAACAGAGACCACTTTTTACATGGACATGTCAATGAAACATGACATTTTGTGATATCTGTCCCCAATATGTCAAGTTCTTCCACATTCCCACCAATGGCTTTTACCTGTAGTTTCTCTGGATGCAAATATATTGCGTAAAATTACTTAAAGCCCCTTTGATCTTAGGTTTTCTTGGCATCTATACTCTAATTTTCCAATAATTAAATTTTACAAATGCATCACAATCTATGGATTTGCCAAATGTTAGAATGATTCCTTGTCATACAATTGTGCCCTTTTAATTGAAACATCTCTTGTTGTAAGCTTCATTTAAATAAAGTTTTAGATTTATAAACACCATTGCACCTGTTGGGAAAAGCATTCTGTACAGATTAAATGCAATGCAGAGATTGTTGAAAAGGAAAAGAAAAGACAGATGCTTTCTGATTAAGAGTGCAATATGTATGACAGTCTGGTGGTCCAATGAACATTTTCCCTATCACTTAACAACTGTTTTACATTTTTGTTTCAGATCAGTATATTTATTCTTTACAGGGCATGCCAGAGGGTCTATCTTAGTATATCAAAAGATCAATCCATACCCTAGCAAGCTTCACACCACAAATTGGAACTGATTCCTCACTCTGTTTAACCTTATATTTTTTTGCTCTTCTGCTTGAAATATTCTATTTTAAACCCAATTTACCTCTATAATAGAGCATTTAACATTTCAATAATAATGAGATAAAAGAGTATTATAGCTTTTATACAGCAGGAGTCATGGCCTAATTGTTTCAATATCATTTAATAACCCAGCGACAGAAATTCAAGTAGCCTAGGTATTTTGAAACTCTTACTAATTTTTTAAAAGCGAGATAACTTTGATACCAATTCTAATTCTTAAACCAGTATACAGCAGCATGTAATTATGCGTGTGTGTGTGTGTGTGTGTGTGTGTGTGTGTGTGTAAACTTTAACACTGAGGTCATTCAAGGAGATAAAAGTAATAAAAGTACTTTATTTCTGCGAATATAATACAGATACAATTTGAGAATACATACATACATGTTTGAACAATGTAACTCATAGTTTACATGCTGATTCTTCATGTTTTATTCTAAGTAGAAGAATTTGCTACTTAAATTAGAGATCAGTCCTTCATTACATTTTCTATTTGGAACTTAGTCATGGGCAATGTGAGGTTAACAGATAATAAATAGTTCCAAAGTCCATTAAAAGTTCTTGATTTAAGGAATCAAAATAGTTATATTTAACTATGTATAAGTGCTACTGATGTTTTAAAGTATCTGGTGAAATCTGTTTCATGCGAGTAGCTACAAAACTTACACAAAAGTTACTTAAGAATGAGATTTTACCTTTTCTACTTCAAAGTGTTACCAACTGAAAACAAGATGAAAAGGAATTGATTGGTGTTTTCTCTAGCTCATTACCTTTCTTTGTAACTTATTTCTTTTAAAGTTCTTACAATATGGTATTTAGGTATGTGCTATCATTATTTTCAAATCAAACTTGCTTCATTTAGTGCTGGCGTTCTCACACATTTTGGTCTAGAAATCCATTTACCCTCAAAAGTACCAGAGATTCCTCAAAACAGAGTTTTGCTTATGATGTAATATCTACAAAGTAAAAACTAAAAGTGAGAAAAATATATATTTATTTTTAAATTATTTCATAATATCAGTAACTAAATTAGTATTACGTTATCAATATAAAGCTAATACAGACTAATGAAAATAACTTATTTTATTAAAAAGTATTAACGAAGATAAAAATATAAATGAGAAGAGTGATGTTATTTTACAGTTTCAAAAATCTTTTTAAAAATGACTGAATAGAAGACAATTGGATTTTCTTACCTGCTTCTGCATTATCTTTTGTCATATGTTGTTTTAGTGGAAAAGTATGAAGAAAAATCTGGTCC